AAGCTTGGGCAGGGGGAGAAAACAGTAGTTACATAATTGTCTACAGACTATCAAAGGCACAAAATACAAACAGCTGTTTAGAGGCAGCCATGCTGAGTGACAGATATACTTCTAGTCAAACCTGCCACGAGCAATTTTACATCATGACGAGGAGTCATTTTAAATATACAAATGTCTGTGTCTGCTTTAGGAAAAGATGTCATGTTTAAAGTTCAGAATCTGAATTAAGCCCTAGCCACTTAAAGGTGGACTTTTCAGAAGGGCCCTCCACTGACCCAAGTAAACTTGTTCTTGAAAAGGACCAAACTGATGAGAAAATAATTAATTCAGGGTGGAAAAATATTTACAGAATTTACACCAAATCCTTGCTGATCTGGAATCTAGGCTGTGCACATGAATTCTATGCAACAACTTGGAATGAGCAGGTTTATATCTGTTGACAATGATGCCTCAGCTAGGGAACTGTGTTCCTCATATAGGTGGGGTACAGTGTGTTACCAAAGACAAACCAGGGAAAATAAGACTGGTGGCAAAAAAAGACTCCTTTCAAGGTCATCCTCAAAAAAAAAAAATCAACCTAGGTAAAGACAAAAATCACCTAGGCAAATGACTCTTTTGCCTAGCAATGCCAATACAAATTAATACATTTCCTCAAATGTAGGAACTGATACTTAATTGCATAAAACAGGAAGTGTGTGATGCACTCTTATGAGAAATTATTACCGGATTACTATCTGCATAGAGATCAAATGCAGAGTTTTCTTTTTCAGAACCTGGGGCTTGGATGCTAACAAAAGTCTTGGATACTGCTGACAAGGGGGAGACATCTTAGGAAATAGAACTGTGGCTACAGAATGACACTACTATCCACAGGAGATTTAAAAGCAGCCATGATAGATATAGGAGACTGTGCAGGCAATGAGAGAGTCTAGGTCAAAGTCTTGTCAGAACACAGCACCAGTGACTCCAGGATATACGGCATGGGTACCTATGCTACCAAAAAATGATACTGGTCAGTGGTGTGGGCATTATTATATATATCTATATCTATACACACACACATACATATGAATACATTTTCAAAAGGGCTCTCCACTGACCCAGTAAACTTGTTCTTGAACAAGTGTGTACACACTCATGTGTGTATATATAAAATGTGTGAGTTTGTGCATCTCTCTCTCCATGACAAGATGAACCTAGTCAAAATATCATTAGCTTGGTTACAGAATGCAACAAAATGAGAAACAGGCTGCATACTGATTTCAGCAAGGCAAAAAACGCTGCTCTGTCTCTTCCTCATGTCCTGCCCTTCCCTCACAGTTAAGAAACTTAGTTGCCTTTTTCCCTGATTGACTTCTCAGCCCACAGCAATGCCAAGTCAATCCAAAACTCCTGACTGTAAAATCTTCCTCTCCTACCACTCCAACCACCTACCTTTTGCATCCTACCAATCACCTTTTGTATGTTGCATAGTTTTCTTACGCTGATACCTTTTTCAAGCTTTTGTCCAAAACCACGTTATCTTTC